TCTGCATGATGTTTCTCAGGAGGAGGAGGAGGAACAACAGTAACAACATCTGGTTTTTCCAGATTGGAATCAGATCAGCTATATAACACCCCTGCTTATGTGATCACCCCTAGTATGTGTGTGAAAACTACATTTGTGTCTGAAGACCAGGGGAATACTGTGATTATTCCCCTATACAAAGGAATAGAAATGTTAGCAAGAGTAAATGCAAAAACTACAGAGAATTAGTTTGTTTAGTATGCCTGGAAAGATGTTTGGCAAAACAACATTAGAAAAAGTACAAGAGGTAACAATGGGCAAAATTTGGCAAATGTATTTGGTTTTATGCTGAAAGCTATGTGCAGATTAGATATGGTTTTTTTAGCAGGTCAGTGAAAACTGTATGAATGTGAGAAAGTTTACTGTTCATTTAGAGAGGGCAAGGGTAAGCAAAGCCTGCATTATTCAATGTTCTACATGAATGTGAAAATGAAGGGTGGTTATTGAATGTGGCAAGTGTGGTATTAGTGGAAGTAAAACATGAGTGATAATAAATGGAATGTTCAGTGAACAGTTCAACAATAAGTAAGACAAGGATGTATGATGTCTCCTTAGTTATATGTAGGTATGTATCTACGTATTTATTTATTTATTTATTCAATTTGTATGGCCAACTCAGCAAGTTACTCTGGCCAGCAAACAATCTTAAAATTAATTAAAACAAATTCTCATCAGAAATACAAAAATTAAAATATACAGCAGCCGAGGAAGATATCACTATTGCTGGTTGTTAACACAACCAGGAGATGGGACCCTTCACACCCTCAGGACCCTAGGCCTGGGCACAGAACCAGGTCTTTACTACCTTGTGAAAGGTCAGCAGAGTTGGGGCCATCCTGATATCTGGAGGGAGAATGCTATATAGGACGGGCACTACAGTAGAAAAGGCATACCTCCTGGGTCCTGCCAGGTGGCACTCTCTGGTCAATGGGACCTTGAGCACGCCCATCCTGCCTGACCAGATCGGACACCCAGAAACAAGAAAATGGATGTATAGATTTATATAAAATATAATATGGATATATTTATATTTATATAAACATAGATAAATATATAAGGAATGACATTAGAGGTATGTTAATTGGGGATATGAATGTGTATATACTTTTGTATGCCTATGATATTGTTCTTGGCTGAGAATCTGAAGGATATGAAGCAAATATTAGATAGATTTTGTTATGCAGCAAGGAGTATGGACCTGAAAATTAAGGTACAAGGGAAGCTGTGTTTGACAATGTATCAGTCTATCCAGAGACTGATCCAGACTCAGTTGACAGTTTCGAAAGCAATCAAAACAACCATTTGCATACTTCTTAGTTAGCCAGGAAGTGAGCTACTGTTTCATTAGTTCTCAAGAATGCCACTTTCAACTTTATTTATTTGATTTTTTTTAATGAACTGAAAAAAAATGGATTTTAAAGTAAAGGCAGTATGTGGTCTGTTTCAAGGAATGAATGAAAAAAATAGTTACTTTTAAAAACTTTTTTTAAGGAGGGAAGAGTGAATAGACTGAGAGGAAGTGTAAGGAAGTGTAAATCTAATGAAATTGTGGTTAGATGCAGTTGACAAAATTGACAAAAAGAGGTGAGAAATCTGAAGAACAAAAATCAGTGTATGAATTGATCTATGAATGTAGTGAAGCAATGGTGGCTTAGAAAGATATGAAGAGGTATTATGAATGATGTTGATGTAATCTAGACTTATTAAGGTTTCCTTTTCTTTTTTCTTATGTTCTACTTTTCATTTCTTTTGCTAACTACTTCCTACTTTTTTCTTCTCCTTCTCCTACTTTTCTTCTCCTCAATATTCAGAATTGTACAGGGAATATAGTGATACAGGTAGTCCTTGACTTATGGCCACAATAGGGACCAGAAAATTCATCGTTAAGCAGTGCAGTCATTAAGTGAGGCATCACATGACTGCACCTGATTTTATGTCTTTTTTTGTGGCAGCTGTTAAGGAAATCACTGCGATCGTTAAGTGAATCACATGGTTTTTAAGTGAATCACACAGTTCCCCATTGATTTTGCTTGTTGGAAGCCAGCTGGGAAGGTTGCAAATAGTGATCACATGACCCCGGCACTCTGCAACCATTGTAAATACATGCCAGTTGCCCAAATTGTGATCACATGACAATGGGGATGCTGCGATGGTCATAAGTGCAAGGACTGGTTGTAAATTACTTTTTACAGTGCCATTGTAACGTCAAACAGTCACTAAACAAATGGTTATAAGTAAAGGACTACCTGTAATGCATTATTTTGATAATATTACAGCTGTTATTTGAAACAGCTGATATTCTAGACCAAACAAAATTTCACTCTAAATTAAATTATTCCTCTCAGCAACAGCAAGAAACATACACCTTTTCTCAGACTGCTTCTTGTATTTGCCCTCTGTGCTTATATGACAGTCTTTATTCTTCATCCACAGACAGTACTATATTTCTTTTTCTTTTTATGCCAAAGGAACCTTTTTTGTCACACTGGCCAGTTACCTAAATAACCACAACTTGTGATAACTGACAATTTATCTGTTCAGGAAACTACCACGATTATCACTATTTATTCTAACGATGAAAAGGGAGACTTCCTTATAGCTTACTAGTCTTACATAGCTACCTATGTTTGCATTTCAAAAATAGGTATCTATGCCACCTCAGCTGTATATGGAATGACAACCATTTAGGTGGAGAACTGTAAAGGTCAGTTTCAAGATCTTATAATTAATATAAGAAACCTTTTTACAACATTGAAAGTAATGAATCCATCTGGATGTATTATACATCAATAAAGCTAATCAATTGGCCAAACAGCAGAAAAAGACTTCCGAGACATTGCCTCTTTGCTCCCATGAGGAAAATTGAATTTCCTTGGCAACAAAAATTTCTCTGAAGGGAGATCAGCCATCTCGTGGAGATCAAAGTTTATTTCATACAGCTAATTTCAGCATTTGTTACACAATTATTGCAGTATAATATTTATTAGCCACTTTTTTTTTTGCAATGTTCTATCATCTATGATGAATAGCACATCCAAATCAGATAGTTAGTACAACACTATCAGCATAAATAAGAGGCTCAGCTATACACCTTAATAGCAAGCCTGCCATACTATACTTTCAATAGAAGAGAATATATGTAGCTCAGGGTTGAACTGTGGAAACCTTGGTGCTCTCTAAGCTCAGTTGTTTGTTTGCAGATGTTTCATTACCCAAGTAGGTAACATCATCGGTGCGAATGAGTGTGGCATTTGTCCCCGTTTATATACAGTAGCTTGTATTGCCAGTGTTGGTGGGGGTATGGTTTTCTCCTTGGTAGTTCCTTGATTAGGGTACTGTTTTCTGCTTGTTTGTCTAGTGTTAATCCCTGCATATTTGGGCATTGGCTGCTGGAGAAGATGAGTTCTGGTTTTCTTGTTTCCTTCTTAGCTTTTTTATTGTCTCTTTTGAATGGTGTGAAAATGTGATTGATCTCTATGTGGCAGAGGAGGTGCAATGTGAGTACGGTGGGGCTTGGGGGGCTGCTGCCGGGTGGGAGAGGGTGCACAAGTGGCCGGGGAGGCACAGCATGAGCACAGCAAGGTTCGAGGATGGGGCATGGGTGGGGAAGACTTAGCCCAGCAACTGGTGAACTTCCCTGCTGGCTTCCATATAGATTTTGCTTGTGGGAAGCTAGCAGGGAAGGTCCCAAATCACAATCATGTGACCACAGGATGCTGCAACCATCATACGTGCAAGCCAGTTGCCAAGTGCCCAGATTGTGATCATGTGACTATGGGGGTGCTGGGACAGGCAGAACTTTGAAGACCAGTTCTAACCATGACTCATTCAGTGCGGTCATAACTTTGAACAATCATTGAACAAGTTGTTGTTAACCGAGGGTTACCTGTAGAGGCTAGGTGACTTTCAGAAATTGTTTTGAAAGGATTAATTTAAATTAGATGCACATACTAATTTAGTATATTTTAGAAACAAAAATATAAAGTGGAAATCTATTTTTAACAGAAACACTTCAATTTCAAGCAGAAGTATGTAATTTCTTCTCATTTGAAGTACATACCAAGCTTCCAAAGTGTGTTAAAGGCCCCACTGAAAAATATATGGAACCAGGATTCAAAGTAGGACCTATCTGAAATTTAAAGAATGAAGTCTCTGCCAAGCTTTAAGGTACCTGCTTTATTCCTTAAAATCCTCCTAACCACCACCATTCTCAATGCATACAAAAAATTGGCTGAATAATTACCATCAGGACAAATGTTTATCTCAGCAACTGTTTATAGTGATTATAAACTGAGGAACAGCAGAATCTTGCTGTATAACTTTTCACATCAATTTATCTGAATGAAGAGCCAAATGTTATGGTAAAGAGAATATAACAGAGATAGTCATTAGTTGATATTTGGCCTAAGAATCTATTAATATTGGTACTGGAATATTTTCTCAATTTGCTGGATGACGCTCCATCTTAACAGGGGAGGAACAATTATAGTTTGTCTGACAACAAACTTGAGTCTAGCTAGCAACCATGTCATATTGTGAACCCATCCGACTTTCTAGGAGGTGCCCTGCTTTTTAGAATCTTCTAGCAAATAGCAAAGAATAAGATCCTAAAAACAGTTTAATTCCTCCTACACAACTTTATTTTCATTTTTAAATTAATTTTTATTAAAGAAACTTTTACAGAATAAAAACATTTAATGAAAAAAGAAAATAAGAGTGGTGAGAAAAGAATAAAGAAACGAAAAAAGGAGAGAAAGAAAAAAGAGAAAAAAGAAAGAATATAAAGCAATGATTTCTGATCTTCTTTATAGCAGTTATAAATGCAGTCGAATTTTGTCCTCTCTGTCTAAGGTTACATCATAACTCCCTTCTTTCCATAAGACAAATTTATTTTCACATGTCTTAAAAGTTTTTATAAAAGAACTGGCTAAAAACACAAGGATAAGGAACTGTTCTATTACCTTGATAACACTATCTCCAGGCCTCATATCTGTGTAGATCTTCACACTGTATGATATGTTTGAGAAGGTTGGAGAATTATCATTTGCATCAAGCACAAAAATATTGACTGTGACCGGTAAGCTTTCTTGCACACCATCGGAAGCTGTAACCTTCAAAATAAAGAGGCATGAGGAAACGGTTGTAAAAATAATGTATATAAAATCAAATGCGACTTTTTCCTTCTGCTTTTTGTTATTTTTACTAAATCATTAACCTACTAGCTTAAATACTTAGAAACCAATCCCTTTGAAGCCATCTAAGCATCTATTTAATATGCATCAGTCACATTTCACGTATCATTCCATCTAAGAAAATCATGGGCATTTTAAAATTATATTTAAAATTAAAATTACTATTTTATTTTATTCTTTATGGATCTCATCACACTTTCCAAATGGTGTAGACCTAATTCCCATGGTAAATTACCCATGGCTTATTTTGTGTGATTGATTTCAATGGGAATTAAAGTGGTCTCATTTAGTCTGGAATTAATCTACATTTTTACAAACAATTTATAATCCATAAGGATCTAAGAATAGTTTTAAACTAACGGTAAACACATTTTCCCTGTCTAATGTGTAAAAAATGTCTTTTTGCAGGAAAAACAATTCTGACCATTTTAAAATGAATAATTATTATGTAGATACAATACTCTAAAGCAAGGATCAACAGTTCTTTTCTTTTTATCTAAGGACCATACTTTCATTATATTTTTCACCTTCAAAGACTTCAGTAACATAGATTTGTATGTATTCTTTATTACAGTTGCTGACCAGCAAATTAAACAGTCAGCTTCTTAAAAGAATAAAAGAACAGAGCACAGCAAGCCACAGCATTAGAAGAGAAAACAAACATTATCTGGAAAAAACAGTAAGACACCTAAAATCTAGAATGTTTTTAAGACATTGATAAAAGGACACATAACAATTTACTATAATGCCGTGAGTACAGGAATACAGGCTACATAATAGAAACAAAGTGACAATTTAAACTAAAATACTGTAAATTAAAGTAAAAATATTTTAAGCATAGAATGCTGGCATTGCCAGGAATGGCAATTTCAGTGGGCTGGACAGATCAGAGAGATTTGAAGAAGCAAAATAGCTACCTCATGCCCTGTGGAGGCCTAAAGCATTTACGACTGTCACAGTGTCCTGCAGTCATGTGATTGCCATTTGGGGACTTCGCAACCAGCATGCATTTATGATTGTCACAGCATCCTGCAGTCATGTGATCACCATTTGTGTACTTCCCAAGCAGTGTGCAACAAGCAAAGTTAATGGAGAATGCGGAAGTAAAATTGTAAGTCGCAGTCATGCAATGTTTCACTTAATGACCACAGTGACTCACTTAACGACTGAATGGGAAGTGACGTTGTAAGTCTGTCATGGTCATATGATTTTCTCCTTAGTGATTGAGTTGCCAGTCCCAGTTGTGGTCGCTAAGTGAGGTCTACCTGTATTGGTGAGTTGTGTGCAGCTTACAGACAGCCTATTCCATTCTAAGGCATCACTTGAATGCCTTAGAATGCTGATAGACATTAACCATAATAATACTCATATAATTATTCCAACTGATAACAATGTAAGGAAAACAAATCAAGACTGTCTACAGCTTGGTTTTTCAAACTTTTTCAGACTGTGGAACCTGTTAGTTAAAATCCCAGAACCCCTATTCAAGAGGCAAAGCTCTACTATTAGAAAATTGGCTGCATTTGAGTGAACTTTTTCTTTGCCCTTAATTTCTTACAACAAATTTTCAAGGAATGCTAGGGTTCAGAGGAACATAGTTTGAAAAATCTTGATCTGCAGTATGAAGGCTGCATTCAATAATAACCAGAAAATTCCTGGGGAAAAAACACATATCACTTGTGCAGGGACAAGATGTTGGATAGTCTGTCTCTGTATTGTTGACAAAGAAGTGATAAAGATAACCAGTAATGTAAAAAAAAAAAAAAATCCTTTTCAGACAGATTGAAGGACTGAAGACCTTAACTGAAAACCAAGGGGTCGAATATAACAGGGCAAAGTTTTAATTGTTTAATCGCCAAGAAAAGATCTAATGGTTTATGTTAAAGGAAGATAGATTTCACTTGGATATCTTCAAGCCGAATTTAGACAGCCATCCGTTGGAGATTCTGTGGTTCTACATTTTTTTTTTTTAATTCAAGGGATAAAAAGGTACTTCAAGGGATTCTCAGGAAGTTCAATGAGTTGGCCAAGCTGAACCTTAACTCTAATCCTAACCTTCCAACTATATGGCTGAATTTACACAAAACACTTCACCAGGCCAACTAGAGACCCATCAGTTGCATTTGTAGATCTATAGAGCTTTGTTAATTTTAACCTTACTTACAGTGTTGCTATTTAACATGTTATGCAAGCCCAGACCATTTTATTATTTTATGTCCAATGGCTTATACAATTTGGTGAAATTCTAACAATTTTCTTAAGATCTCTGCCAACGGAAATTTCAGTGATTAAGCTTTTGCAATAGTTGAAAAGATGACTGGTGTGATTCTAACAAGACTCTTAAATCCCATTGCTTACCGAAAATGTGTACAACTGCTGAAGCTCTCTGTCAACTGGCTGAAGTAAGGTGAGGTAGCGGGTTATTCCATTCTGAGTCACAGTGAAAAATGTATTGTAGTCATTTAGAAACAGATGGAGCAGCGGGTCCTTTGTCTTCAAAGTGAAACAAAATGATAATTACATTCTCAAAGGGATAACAACAATACACATAAAGACTATTTTAATGATAGCACTAGATATCAGGACTAACAATGACATTGAGGAGAAAAATGTAATCAACATAAATTGCTGGAATAACTATTTCTCTTTTGAATTGGAGGGAGATATTGGGAAGTAAAACCCTATTCCCACTGCTTTTAACCAAAATTTGAGAGAGAAACCTTCATTATTTTTCTCAGTAATTAAGACTCTGATCATAGGTTTAGGGCAATTAGGTATTTAACAATTATTTCTATAACAAACTTAAAAAGCAATGGAAGGGTAAAGACTTCTGCCACCTGCTAGATGAACAAAAACCTCAGACCACAGCAAAATAATTATTTGGTTTGTTGATAATATATTTACTACAAAAGCCAGTTCTCAACAACCTGAATTTTAACACAGCAAGGGAAAAAGGATAATTTCTGATTCAAAACAACTAGCCTTCATTGAAGGTCTTGAGAAAACTGCCAGGATGCTTAATGCAGTTGGAAAGCACAACAGCTTTGAAATTTTGCAACTGGTTTGGAGCTGTGGATTTTGCAATATAAAACAAAAGACCGAGAGGTTAAATTATATGGCAATGAATGATCTTAAAAAAAAAAAAAAATCAGAAAAAGGGCCCATATCATCTGGAGATACAGAGTACAAGAATGACAGAGTGATGGATTCCTGCACTTCAATTCACATGGTTTTCTTATGTGTGAACAATCACTACAGATTTGTTAAAAATATTGAAAAAACTATCAGCCTGACAAATTGCCCTCAGCGTAGCATAGCCTGACAGTATGTATCTTAACACTATAATCAAAGATGATGAGACACAAAGCAATTAAAAATAAGTGAGTCAGACACTCTGGAGAAATGTCACATTTTTTCCTCTATCTTCCTGGATTTCATTCTTGACCTGATTTGTTCCAGTTTCTTGCAGAGTGGTAACTCTACACTTTTGAATAAATAAGACAACCCCATGCACCACAGAAGTAGCAAAGGGCAGTGCTCTCGAGGTTAAATAGTATTTCTCCATTCTAGTAAAGGATGCTGTGTTAATAGAAAGCCATTGGCTCCTGGGCAGTGAGTCAGCTGTGCAGAGAAGTAAAGGACTGATTTAATACCATCAGTTTTCAGACCAAAAAGCCACAACACCAGGACTTCCCCTTTCCAAAAGTATTGCAACGATTTTTTCTCTCTCCATGTAGTAATAGTTAGTTTTGGAAACATTCTGCAAAATTATTGTGAAGATGTTTAGCATGTCAGTTCACCTAATAGCCTTTCTGTTGACTAATTATTAACTTGAGATCTTAGAAATACCTGAAAAGTAATAATAGTTATTGCTAACTAGATCTAGGCTGTAAAACCTTTTGCAATCACTAGATGGCAGTAGACAGAGCTACAGAAAGTTCTTTGCCTGTGTTTAAATTTAGAGTCCAGATCTGGTAGTTCTAGTATGAGTAGACATATATCCTTCAGGAATATAACCCCACCACTGCAATCATTTGGAAGAGAAACAGCAATCAGGGAAGGAACTACAGATTTTTTTTTTATTCTTGATATATTGATTTTTTTTTTTTTTTTTTCATTTGCTCTCTCTTACACATTAAGCTTGAGGTCAAGCAGTACCACAGAAAAGCCTACTATATACACACACAGAAAGTGGAAGAGATGCTTAAAAGAGTACAATATATGAAAACAGCCTAATAAAAAGATAACTTAAGATGAGAAAAAGTAGGTGATCCGTGCATTTTGGTCAAAGATATGTTTATCTCTAGCTTAGAGATAAGATGTAGAAACACAGACATAAAGAACAATCCATAAAAATATTCACTCATGCTTCTACTGTTTGCCATAGAGATCATTCTTACTTTATTAAGTGGGTCTTACTCACTCATAACTCTGTTAAGTATATCTAAAGAAAGCATATATTTCTTTAAATTGATTTTCTTCATTCTATTGTGGTTTTAATCTTTGTTTGCTGCCAAGAATTCCTTGGTAGATGGACAGCCACATACATTTGTTTAATAAGCAAAGTAATAAATAAGTATTAATATGACAAGCTATAATTAGCTAGTTTTGTATTTGTTGTGTAGGAAAATGAAAGTTTTGGCTTTTTATTTTTGAAAGCAGAGAATAGATTATTGTTGTGAACCCTGAAAAAGACAATATTACAAAAGTAAACGAGTGAAGTGTCAAATCTACTTTTAGTTTTAAAACCAATGGATGAAACTTGCTTTAACAATGGGTAATTTTCAAAGAAAGCATAAAGTACATGTTCATTGTGATGCTTTCAAACACTATTATATAAGTTGGTTATACAGAAATGGTCTGGACATAAATTCAGCATTATGATATCTGGAAAAATAAAGAATTATTCACTCAGAAAGAACATTAATAAAAAAAACTTCAAGGGTAAAAGTTAACACAGCAAAAAGAAGGTGTTAATACGCTTAAAATACCTACAGGAATGGCACCTGATGGAATCTAAAAAAGCAAAAATAAACACATAAATAGAATGAGTAGAAGCCCTTGCCTATATAATACATAGTACCCAGTAAAATAGTCTATTGAAGTAAGATAGAAAATTAGGTGATCAACATTCACTATGAGGACTTTAGACACTTCCTTATAAAGATTACAACTATGGGCTGAAATGAACTATTATATCAATTGCTACATTTCTCTCAATAGCTTTCCATTATACAACTGAAGGACAGGGGCTCCAATTCATATGATTTTGCTCTTCTGCCGATGTGCTGCTTGCACCATAAGATCACTTGTCTGAATTGCTGTTGACAACCAAAATAACGGTTCTATGCTAGTTCTCAGAAGGCTAAAAGAAAGGAAAAATTCCATGGTAAAAAGGGGTGGAGGTGCATTAAGTCATTTCCATTATACTATGTATCTGGTTTTTCATTATCTTTCCTTATATTGGGCCTTTTGGTTTATCCAACATTAATTCCGAAGCCAATTGAGAAGAGTTAAAGATAACTCTGGATTTTTAATTATTCAGTTCAATTATTACATCTTAAATAGCAGGACTATAAATCTGTTCTGATACATATTAAATAAAGCCTCACAAATGAACTTCCTCTCTAGATTGGGAGTGTTACTTGTCCTTAATAAGCTAGCTCTCATACCCTTTGTGAATGAAATCAGCATGTACTGTATTACTGACCTTCGTGGATGAGCTAATGTGCTTGAAGAGGCTGCAGGGCATTTAGCATATCAACTTAGGTTTTGAGCAGAGTGATTATTAACATCTACAAATAATCCATCTTTCCCAAGTTCCTTCTGGATTCCTCAAGGCCAGTCTGTGATCCCTTTGTCATTGCTGGGTCATTGTGAAATTTCAGCACAGAAACCTGATGTCAATTGTATCGAAACTGCAAATTGAACTGATTCTTCAAAGGAAACTAGAAATTCTGAACTGACCCTCTGAATCAACGTGAATTGGTGAGTTGGAGAGGATTGATTATTGAAATTGAATCAAACAATTTATGTTGGCTTGGAGAAACTCTGAATAGCCCCAATAGGTCATTACCTGCTGAACTGTAAGTAAATGTTTTAGACTGATGCCCTTCTCTTGGGGTGATAGTCCATTTAATATGGTTTATCCCAGGAGATTTAGGGAATCTGGGCAATTCCTGAAAGGAGGAGTTTCTTGTTTAAATAGCTCAGATTCCAATTGAGATTCTACCTTCAGTATGGCATAGTGAGTTGGAACAGGATATTAAACAATCACTCTCTATCATCCCTTCTTACCCTCCAACTACAAATTTATTTATTTATTTGTTATTTATTTATTTATTAAATTCATATGCCACCCATCTCCCCCAGAGATTGTTCCATAGCTTCCCAAAGGGATAAGAAGGAGATTTCTTCCCCTCAAAATGCCACTGTTTTATGAAACCTGCACGCCGATCCTCCTTATTCCTGTAGTCCCTATACCTGAAGTTTTGAAATAGGGATGATTCTGAGACCATATCCAGATTCCAGATCAAAATAATCAAGAGATGTGAAACTCCATCCAGGAAGAATAGTTTTCCTTTCCTCCTCCTTGCACACTACGACATATATTCTTGTCGTATGGATTACCACGTTATTCAGCATTATCTCTATTCTATAAACTATCAAATTGTACAGCAAATTAAAATCTGCTGGAGAGCTGGGTCTCACAAAACAAGCAATTTACTAGAAATTTGAGCTAAATCAGATGAGGCATCTGGGAAAACATCCAAACTACATACTCTTAACATCTACTCCCTATATTGTCTTAGGATCATATTGTATGATTTGGAAGTTAATAAAGAATGAATCCACAGGGAGGAAAATAATAGCACTCTAATTTAGACAACCGCAGTACCTGATAGCAGTCACTATTAATGTTTCAGAAGAGAGTAATAACCACCATTCTTTCTTAACTTTTTTTTTTAACCAATCAAATGGGGATAAAAATGCCAAAAATGACATGTTAGCATGGGCCATGATCTGGGTCCATTACATTTCAGCAGCATGGTTTAACCTCATGTATAAATCCCCAGTCAAATTATATTAGGCTTGAAAGTGTCCAACTTTGAGTTGTGTCTTGTGTTGCATTTTTTTTAAAATGAGTTTTAGCAAGCTACGAAAGTCCACTTGCATTAGGTTTATTTTGCCTTCCTATCCAACAACTATTTTTTTCTGATGCATTGCAAGATGCTGCTGAACAACATTATCCCAAATTTAAATCCTCAATGACATTCAGAATAGATTTCTTAATACTGTTTGTAAAAGAAAATCATTAGATTTTAGTTTGTTTAAATAGCTATATACATTTCCAGAACTGATATTTGGTATAGAACTCTGAGCCTGTCTAGTTAGATACAAATGGCAGAATTCATTTCAGCAAGTGCAGCTTTTCACTGTCAAGCATGGAAAAGGAGGGGCCAATTTAAGATACAATTGAAGGAACATTACAAAGGATATATGTGTGTGTTTTGAGTGGGGGAAATATATAAAAATCTCCAGGCTAGGATGCTTGGAACCCACTGGGGATGTTTGCTACGTTTGGGTGGCTGACTGGATTTGCCATGTCGCCATTGTTATATGCTGTTTTGATTGCATATTGCTGTTTTGTTCTTATGCTTTGAGCCACCCAGAGTTGATTAGAGTTGGGCAGCAGCTAAGTAGAATAGAAGAAATAAATAAATGTAAAGAGGAGATATACGCTAATCTGAAAAGATATCCACAAAGCAGAAAAGAGCAATAAAGATGGTCTGCAGATCAATTAGGGATTAAAACATGAGAAGAGTAGCTTTTCTCATTATTGAAGGATAAGATGTACCATATTTACCAATAGGAAGAGGAGTTCTCCCCCCCCCCCAATAATTACCTGAGACTTAAAAAGGTAATCTTGCATGGCTAAGAAGAATAGAAAGCTGCTGAAAGGCATCAGCATTTTTGAAGATTAGCTGTGCATGCTGAATTTTAACATTTTTCTAACTCCTAAACACAGTCTCCCTTGCTTTTCTTTCCTTTTCTATTATCTCCTTTTCCTCTTTCTCTCCCCCCCCCCCCATAATTACCTGAAACTTAAAAAGGTAACCTTGCATGGCTAAAAAAAATAAAAACCTGCTAAAAGGCATCAGCATTTTTGAAGATTAGCTGTGCATGCTGAATTTTAACATTTTTCTAACTCCTAAACACAGCCTCCCTTGCTTTTCTTTCCTTTTCTATTATCTCCTTTTCCTCTTTCTCTCCCCCCCCCACCTTCTTTGCCTAGCACAGTTATCCCTCCTCCCATCTCTTAGATTTTCCCCCATCTTTTTGGTTGTTTCTGCTGAAAGAAGGGAAGAGAGCATAACTATATGTGAGGATATATCTGTGTTCCTTGGTGTGAAAGTGGTTCTCATGCGTGGGACAGAAGGGTTCGACTATACTGGGTCATCAATCCATTTTATAAATGGGGATAAATGGGGTATCTTATATGGCGTGTGGCTTCTGACAGATAGGGGTGTGAGTGTGTGCGACATGGACATATTTATTGGTGGGTGAGACATCCCCAGAATTGGTTTCAGCTGGATTTGGCAATCTTAGATATCACAAGGTGGAAAGCTGTGATGATCTGTATTTTTTCCTATCTTCCATTTGGGGGACAGCCATTTTAAATAAAGGTTCATCTTTCTTTTGGGGTAAATATGTCTTCTTCATAACTTTTAAAAGTTTAGTAAGTCATGGTGCTCTGACAGTACATATGTGTGAAATCATGATCTCTTTCTACTCACTACAGAGTAGAAACCATTTCATTTTTTTCATACACACAAACAACTTGGATGGAGCTATCAAACTTCCTTAGGTATTTCTTCTAACAATTAATCAGGCTTTCTGTTAAACTTTGCTCTTTCTTTCTGCATGAATTTGTTTAGTGGCTTGAACGAATTAGGCCAAATTAAAATTAATTGGAGCCACAGTCCATATTATTTTGATTCTAGCATAGGCTAAAATTACTTCAGTTGCTGAAGCCACTAAGGAAAATATTTTATTGTGTTTGGAATATATCCTACAAGCAAATGATTAACATGAGAAATACAATAGAAGGATAAGCTGTTGATAACTGGTTCTCAAAGTTCTGAAATCTTAGTTTCTTCTTTTTCATGTTACATGCAGCACGGATACTGGAATCTAACATTTGGGGACAGCTGTGGCATATTTATTTATTTATTGTATTTATATAGCCACCCATCTCACACAAAGTGATACCACAGAAAACACAAATTTATATAATCAATAGAATCCAACATTTGGGAACAGTTGTGACATATTACAGAAAACACAAACCTCTTCAACATCATTATCTAAAGCTATGATCTGCAGTGGAGATGTCAGGTTCTGGTTATCAGAAATAGTTGTACCAACAGGGGAAGATTCTGAAATAAAGCCTTCATATGTTGATTCGGTGAAGAAAGGTTTCTGATTGTTTTCATCTAAAACTTCAATATGGAGATTAGCAAATGCTGGAAGAGGATGGCCATTGTCTTGTTCAGCCTGCAAAAGCAAAAAGTTAATACGTTATAGATTCCTGCTGCCATTTTTAACATTAATTGGTTTTAATTTTGTATTTTCTTAACAGAAAATTAGAGTGGAGGTACATTTTATTGGCTCATTTGTGTTCTTTCTAACTGCAGCTGGATTCTGTAGCAAAGCTAGATGCCAATATCCCATCACATATGACGTGCTCAAAATCAGAAGGAAGTCACAAACTTATATCAATTATTTTTTTCTTCCTGATTGACTAGCACCATCAGTGAAAGAGAAACAATTTAGCTCCCAAAAGAAGTATCTCATTAACTCATAAAAGTAAACACTACACTCAGGACTTAATCATATTAAAGTCACAAAACGACATGGCTCATTAACAAACGTGTAGGTGAGTGTGCACACAGGCAAAGTTTTTCCCTGTGATAGTCTGTGGAAGTAAAAGTTGAAAAGAAGTAGAATAAAAAGAACATTAACACTTTTGAACTTTGGTGTTGAAGAAGACTCCTGAGAATATAATCGATAGCCAATAAAACAAATAAATAGATCACAGAACAATTCAACCCAGAGTTCTCACTTAATGAATGAATGATCAGGCTCAAATGATCAAATCTGACAAATTATGCAACCAACCAGCTCTCTGCAGAAGTCTAAAAGTCTGGTAAAAGTGGAAGGAAAAAGAAGAGGATAAATAGCAGCAAGGTGGATGGACTCAATTACAGTGGTGATGGGTGCACCATTTGAAGAGATGAAGGACAGGGTTGGGAACAGATCTTTCTGGAGGAAAAAATATGTGTGGTTACCAGCAGTTAACAATGATTTGATGGCACATAAACGTAATCAATCAGGTAGGTTTGTGTGGACGTGTGTGCAAACTTTTTAGAGCTATTGTCATGTAAAAGCTCTCATTCTGCACACATTCCGTTAATTACAAAAGTGTATTTTTTTTAAAAAAACAAACACTTTTGGAAATAAAGATTACCAGAAGCCAGACAAAGCTAAGCATTTCTAAACAAAAGAATTATGCATTTGCTCAACTTTTTGTTCTGTTTAGAAGTAAACCACTGATTTTTTTTTCTGGATCATAGTCTCAGTTTTAGAAATTATCAAAACGATAAAAGCAAAAGCCAGTTGCTCTCTTCTTTAAAGCCACCTCTCTTTTTCTGGTGGAAAAGGAACACCAGTCCCTTTGATAACACATGTACAGATATAAAAGATGCAATTATAGGAAAAATGAGTTCCAGAATCCAGAACTTCAGATGAACTATTGCCCTGCCTTTTGCCTGAAAGTAAATGAATAAATTTACTCAGAAGAGGTCAGGGTAAGACCTAGAACATACAAATAGCACTCTGAATGTGAATATATGGTTGTCCTACATTTTTTCAAGGTAACATTTGTCTCAGTTCTATAAAGGAGGTCTCAATAAAATACGTATGGGGGGGGGTGAAATCTGAAGCTAATCCTCACTTGATTTTGAAATTACTCAACCAAGCAGATAGCATCAATGGATTTTGCAGTTTTGTCCACAGTGCAAGCACTCCATGCTGAGATGAACGGTAGCAAGCAAAATATAGCTCTTCCCAAACTATCAATGTTGTGGAACGGTTTAAAGTCACTTGACAATATTGGGGAGTGCTAGAGAATAGGGGGAGGCAACTCTGCAAAGGAACTGGCACTGCTGTAAATATACTGGGCTTTTTCATATTTTTTTTAAAAGTGAAATTACCATTTCCCCTATTTGGCTTGGTAGTTTTTAATCGATTTAAAAAAAGAAAAGGAAATTCCCCTAGTCCAGTCAAATGTCCAAGACATGGAGAAAACAGACGAGAGGATTTAAGATATAGAATCTCTAGGCCAGTTTGGCTGCCATTTTGGGAATACAGAACAGCAGTGAGATAAGCTAAGCAGGCTATGAATGACATTGCCCCTGATTCCCAGTATCCTGGATATCACTACCCTATGCTCATGTTAGTGTTCATGCCTAATGGAAACTTGATTGGAATACTTAGCATCGATATTTTCTCTTCTCCAGTTGCTTGTCTAGAAAACAGACAGAAAGCAGCAGTGATAGCTTGAGTCAAGCACCAAATTTGGATACAAAAATCCAGAAAATGACTAGTGGGCAACAAAATTTGGCTACTGTGGCAAACAGGACTGATTTTATATTAGATAGGATGGGACATGCTCCTCACGCAGCAGACAGTGGTGAGTAAAAGAGTTTTCTGTTGGAATGTAGAGTTCTGTATACCAGATGGCTTGTGGAGAGTGAAGTCCAGCTGTTAGTTGAACTTGCAAAATGGGGGACGTATGATCTTATTGTTCACTTCAGGCAGCGAAATATCTTTGCTTAGCTACGGGAGTGAGGCTAAATGGATACAATTAAGACTGAGCCCAAACTTCAGAGGAGATCTGTCTGGTCATAACTGGATCTTGAGGGAGTAGGCAATAGATGTCCAATTTAAATTTTTCCTACAGCACTATTTATCGCAGCACTACACATCAAAATAATAAATATACCCTTGGAAAGTTAAGTAAAAGTTACAGATTGACTCACTACAACACATTTTAAATCATGTAATAAAAATCTTCATGCATTCGAAAGGATAACCATTAATTTTCAATATTAAAAAGTACACTCATTAAACAACAATTGTGTAAGATATAATTCTTTCCTCTTTTCCTGTCCCTGCACTTTTACATACAGACACACTGATAAGAATAGTGGTGGATGGACAATCAAGTTCCTAATATTCTGTTTGAATAAGCAACATGACTGTCCAGTCTATCCAATCCTTTGGATCTTAATGCTATATTGTACTTGCAGAAGGAAATCATACAAAAATAAATAAATCCAGATATGTTTGTTAATACTTCAAGCTAGTCTACAAACCATTTTTTCTTCATTCTTGGGGATGGGGAAAACTCCTTAGGAAAATCACATGCGAACTGATGGGTAGGACTATAGTAAACAGTGGTCAGGGCTAGCTGAATGCAGTGGGACCACCCATTCTTTTTCCCCATCCCCCAACATCCTTTTCTGTGTCCATTGTGTATAGTCCTTAGAAGTCCTACAAAGACTGAAATCCATTAACAACCTCCCTAACACAGTTTTAGCTACCAAGGACATTTTCCCCTCCTTTAATATGGAGTTCAAGACATTTAGACACTGTTGTCAACATAGCGTGTCTTGCCACTAGATTACATGACCTTGTAATCTCCCACAAGTACTTTACCTGCAAATCAGTGACCCAGCTATAGGCATATGCATTGCTGCAAAATATGCTGGCATCTTCATGGCTGCCGTAGGACAATACTTTCATAACACTGACCCCATGAAACCTTTCCTTTACTTGAGATTTACTGATTACATTTTCATCATCTGGACCCATGGAAAGAATCTCTCATGAAATTTCATCAAGATCTCAACAACTTCTACCCCACCATCAGACTTAGCATTGACCTATCTACAGAATAAGTCCAGTTCTTTGATGACATGCTAAAACTACAAGTGGATGCAAAAACACCATATACAGAACATCTACAGATCACCGTGCATAGCTACACACTTCCAGCTTCCTATCAGAATACACCATCTATCATCTATAGCCAGGCTTCACATTAAAAACACTGACCCACTTTGCAGAGATGCTCAACTGTTGGAATTAAGCCAGGGATTCAGAACATGAAATTACCCAACAAGATCAATATACAAATCAATAGAGCAAGATCAATTCCCAGGGAGGACCTATTAAAAAAAAAAAACAGACCACAAAAACAGAACAGCACTAGTTGTCATCTACAGCTCACAGCTCAAGTCACTCAAACACATTAGTAATGAGTTACAACTCATACTGGAGAATGGCCCTGCAGAATCAGAACAGATTAACAGATGACTCCTTGATTATGTGCCATCAAGTCGTTTTTGACTCCTAGCGACCATACAGATAGATTTTCTCCACAATGATCTGTCCCTAACCTGGTCTTTCAGGTCTTCCAATGGTGCACTCATTGCCACAGTAACTCAATCCATCCACCTTGCTGCTGGTTGTCCTCTTCTTCTCTTTCCTTCCATCTTTCCCAGCACTGAGGCCTTCTCCAGAGAGATGGGTCTTTACATAATGTGCCCAAAGTAGGATAATTTGAACCTGGTCATTTGTGCCTCTGGGTTGATTCATTCAATGATCTATTTGTTTGTTTTCTTGGCTGTACAGGAATGCTGCAGGCTGGTTTGGATAATGCAACTAAGGCTGCCTGATATACAGTACATAGCACGCTACTTCAATAAACCTAGCAGGTGGCAATTCCTAGTTCAGCTTTTCTGAGAAGAATTAATACATGGCAAACCTGGTTAGTGCTTGGGAGATCAGAAGAAATTCCAAGACAGTAGGTTAAAAGGAGAAGATGGAAAAAAAAAATCTTGGAAGAAGGCAATGGCAAATTACTTTCAGATTGTTGACATAAAAACTAGATGGGCAGAGGTTGAACTGAACTCAAGGGAAGCTTTACTGTTTTGACTCCAATAAAGGAAAACACTCAGAATAGTTGCTACTGTCTCACACATCATAAAGAATCTGCTTCTTTCAGGCTAGTGCTGAAGTAGTGCTGGGCAAGAAAACACGGCATGGAGAAACAGTAAAGACAGTCTAAACAAACATATATGTTATCTTCCTCTGGCCTCAAGGACTTCCTAGGAACCTTACCTTGACTTTTTCTGAGACTTAGAGAAGGGGAAAATACTTGATTAGTGAGTCTGAAAGGAAGGCAGTCTAATCTTGCATTAGCCCCATGGGAAAGTAATGGTAGCTTTTGCCTAATAAGTATGCTTCCTTATTCTTGTTAACCTTTTTGCACCCCTGAATGTGCAAAAAGAGAGATTTTGGAGCAGAATATTGATAGCAAGAGAGATGTTTTCTTCTCCCTCAGCTGAAAAGATCAAGAGCAAATACTTTACATAGGGGAGAGAACAGGACTTTCTAGTTATAACTGCAGGAAGGATAATAATGGAGATGTGTTGGTCACCCTTACTAGATTCATACATGCTAAGCCATAATGTTGCTTGTTTGGCTTTGATTTTGGCTTTGGTGTGATGTGTGAACACAACTATTCTTACAAAAATCTTTCACAGGTCGGTCTTGGTTGAATTTTTGCAAACAAAGTATGTTGGAAAATTTGCCATATCCTCCTAGTATCTTTCAACACTGTTCTGCTAAATGAAGCACTGATGTGCCTAAAGCATGTGGCAATTATTAGTCTTACAGATTGATACCCTTCCTTATTATCCACTCAGTTGCACGCTAATCACAGTAATTTGAATCTAATAATGCCTGTAAAAAATCTATTAATAATATAGCCAGTTATAAAGCCACTAGAATATGACCACAGAGAACTATAATGGATATTTCAAAATTTGTATATAACTATATTACTGCTTATCCTAGCACCAATTGTTTCAGTACAAATGAATAGACCTTTGCCAAATTCTTGAACATGTAACTATATGGGACCATTTGTGTCAATTCCAATATTTGTTTTATGAACATTCAAAGAAAAACACTCAATTTACAAAGTACTAGGGAAAAAAATGTAGAATAAAAATAAAAAACCTTGAATAATTGTCATCAAATACTGTCACTTTTTACCAGATATACACATATATGCTAACAAAACAAAACAGTTTATTTTGTAGAATAGAATAGAATAGAATAGAATAGAATAGAATAGAATAGAATAGAATAGAATAGAATAGAATAGAATAGAATAGAATAGAATAGAATAGAATGTTATTGCAGTCAATGACCAGGCTGTAAAAGACACTTGGATACACAAAATTGATACTGATCAGCTAGTTAGGTAAACAAATCTGTCAATCAAACTGTTGTCCACCTTACATATTACATGGCAAAATCTGGCCACAATTAAGGAAACAGGGTCATTTGAATCTGAGAGTAAAAGGCTTAAATAGTATTTATTTACTTATTTATTTCTTTACTTACTTACTTATTTATTTATTTATTTATTTATTTATTTATGTATTTAATTTGTATGCCACCCATCTTCCCCAGAGGGTGATGTATCAGAGTGACCACGATATTTAATTAGGTGTGGAATTAGCAACTTTTATGTATGGTGTGTATGTATGTGCGTATACAGTAGGTGTATCTGTAAATACTATATGTATGTGCTAATGTGTCTAATTCACATTTCACATATTCTAATGGCCACAATGTATAACAGACAATCACTTATTTATGTCCTATAACTCCTGAAAGCATATGGGTTTGACATGTTATAGTGATCAACAATTACTTGCTCTAGTAAATATATTAATTTTGTCTATTCTAAAAATAGATCAGCTAACAATTATTCCTATTAGCAGTGATGTCTGCCATCAGAAGGTGTTTCCTTGTGGAATTATCCATATCACCTTGGGCTGCTTATAAATGCTATCATAAATAAGTTAGATTTCTGAGTCTTGTCAAAAAGCGCCATTGGTTAGGAGGGCTTGGAGTCTCCAAAATCCATTATGGTATAGGCAATCTATTTTAAAGCCAGCCTAAATAAAGTTTTTCAATGGATTTTGAATGGCAATTGGATGATGAATACAAGTGTAACACAATCACTTTGCACGTTTAGTCAGAAAGCATATTTTTTTGGGGGGGAACTATACTTTTCAGGTCTTTATGTCTGTCATACATAGTTTTGCCAGTTTTCTGGAAAACAATGAATTTTGACAGCAGAAATCACATGAAGGAAATGTTTAAAATCTTCCCTTAAAACTTGTATACCGTGGCTCCATTGGTCCTGAAATGCCCCATTGTTAATAATCAGAATATTATATGAAGCCTTATTCCTAAAACCAGTACTAACCAGGCATAGATATAAATACTGCAATCTGTTCAGTGATGGCTAAGAAAACTACCTGAAGATAAAATAGTCATTGACTGTGGCAATGCCACCCGACATTCACAAGATTGATAGCTGCTCCCCGGCCCAGGAATATACATCCCTTGTCTCAAGCAGGACTGTTCTGAGGAGATGCTTCTTTTAGCATGGAGCCAAAGGAGAGACCTCCCACAACCTCTTCTCCAGCCAGAAAAGCTTTTGCTCTTTTGGAAATTCCAGGCAGGAGGAAGACAAACAAGAAGCGATGTGCTCAGATGGGGGAGAAAAAGAGAACCAACCTCTGAATAAAGCTGAAATTTGCAAGAAGTATTTTCCAGGGAACAAACTGGCACAGAGTTAATATCTGATTCAAGGGTCATCTGTTCTCCAAAGCAGGGTTCCTCAACCTTGGCAACTTTAAGACGGGGGGGAACTCCCCTCCCCTAAAACCACCCCCCCCCCCCTCTGGCAGGGGATGGACTGGTGGTGGTAGACACCACCACTCAAAATAAACACTGTAG